TATATGTGACCCTGGACCACAACACCAGTCTTTAGTCGCTTGGGTATATTTGTAGCAACAGCCAAAAATACATTGTATGGGTCAAAATTATCGATTTTTCTTTTATGCCAAAAATCATTAGGATATTAAGTAAAGATCATGTTCCATGAAGATATTTCGTAAATATTTTTCGAAGATATTTTGTAAATTTCCTACCATAAATATATCAAAACGTAATTTTTGATTAGTAATATGCATTGCTAAGAACTTCATTTGGACAACTTTAAAGGTGATTTTCTCAGTATTTAGATTTTTTTGCACCCTCAGATTCCAGAATTTCAAATAGTTGTACCTTGGCCAAATGTTGTCCTATCCTAACAAACCATACATCAATGGAAAGCTTATTTATTCAGATGTCAAATCTCAATTTCAAAAAATTTAACCTTATGACTGGTTTTGTGGTCAAGGGTCACATATACATTATTCAGTAATGTTTTTTTTTATTATTTAGCTTTTTTTTATTATTATTCATTATTATTTATTTTTTATCCTTTCCAAAGCATTAACAAAAAATGTAATACTAAAGCAAAATTGTACATTTCCGCCCACACACATTAAAGGGTTAGTTCACCCAAAAATGAAAATTAACCCATAAATTACTCACCATCAAGTCATCCTAGGTGTATATGACTTTCTTCTTTCAGACGAATCCAGTCGGAGTTATATTAAAAATTGTTTTTGATCTTTCAAGCTGTTTCATGGCACTCAGCAATCGCAACATATAATCATTGCAGTTAATAGTGTTCACCGTCTGTTTTACGTGTAATTTGTAACTAACTGCATGATTCTTACTGTACATTTCTGCCATAGTCACCACTAATAACCTACTCCTAAATATACTGTAGAAACTTAATATTTTCTGTAAAGCTGCTTTGCAATGATTGGTATCGTCAAAAGCGCTATACAAATAAACTTGAATTTGCCAAAAATATACTACATGGCCAAAACTATAAGGGCAAGCGCTTGTATCCATATTTTAACTTTTAACCAAAAGACTTCCCAGAAATGTGGAAGCTGTTATAGCAGGTCCAACTCATTATTTAGGCCCATACAACCAACAAGCACATACTTGTCAATAGAACAGGCCATCAGAATGAAAAGAGTCATTATTATCTTTTTAACTACAACGATCTGAACCTAATTTAACAGATATTCTCATGACATGCAAGACTATTCAAAAGTTTGGGGCCTGTAAGTTTTTAATGCTTTTGAAAGAAGTCTCTTAGCTTCAACAAGGCTGCATTTATTTGATCAAAATACAGTAAAAAAAAAAAAAAAAG